CAGTTCAGAGAGGCTATATCTCTCTATGTACAGTTTCAGAGGTATGGACTCAGCCCGAGCACATTCGCCATATCATCTGCTATGAAATCATGTTCAAGAATTAGGGATGTGCTAACTGGGACTTCATTTCATGCCCAGACTTACAAGTATGGGTTTTCTAGGGATGTTTACGTTCAAACATCTCTCATTGTTTTTTATGTAAAAATGGACAAAATGGATTGTGCGCGGAACGTATTCGATGATATGTCTGTGAAAAATGTAGTGTCTTGGAACTCGATTCTGTCCGGCTATGTAAAATCTGGAAACTTAGAAATGGCCCGAAGTGTTTTTGATCATATGCCAGAAAAGGATGTTATCTCTTGGAATTCTATCGTTTCTGGATATGCGAGGGAAGGATTTATGGAGAAAGCTTATGAACTGTTTGTGAAAATGCCCGAAAGAAGTTCTGCTTCATGGAATGCAATGATAAGTGGATACGTACAGTGTGGGAAGATAGATGTTGCCCGTCACTTGTTTGATTCTATGGACAACAGAAAGAATCAAATTACATTCACTGCCATGATTTCTGGGTACTCAAAATCCGGAGATGTAGATTCTGCTATGAAGCTATTTTTGGACATGACTGATGGAAAAGAACTTACAATTTATAATGCAATGATATCTACATATGTTCAGAACAGTCAACCAAAAGAAGCCCTCAAGCTGTTCCATGAAATGCTTGAATCAAAACTCCAACCAGATCATATGACATTAACGTCTGCCATTTCTGCTTGTTCTCAAATGGGAGATCTGAAATCAGGTTCTTGGATTGAATCATGCATGAAGAAAGAAGGAATCCAGATGGATGATCATTTAGCAACCGCTTTTCTGGATATGTATGCAAAGTGCGGGATTGCAGAAAAAGCTTATGATTTATTTCTCGGATTACAAAACAAAGATGTAACAGCTTACACTGCAATGATCATGGGATTCGGAGTTAATGGTAATGCCAATGATGCCGTTAACTTGTTTAACGACATGATTAACGCTGGAATTAAACCTAACTTAGCAACAGTCACTGCCATATTGACCGCTTATTCCCACACGGATTTCGTAGAAGAAGGATTCCGGTTTTTTACAAGTATGGAGAAGTATGGGCTATCTCCAACTGTGGATCATTATAGTATTGTTGTCAGTCTATTGGGCAGGGCCGGGCGGCTAGAAGAAGCATATGGTTTGATAAAGGGAATGGAAATGGAGGCCCATGTTGGTGTGTGGGGAGCTTTGCTTCATGGTTGCAAATTGCATAACAATTTAGAGATTGGTGAGGTGGCAGCAAGGCACTGTTTGGATATGCAAAATGGGGATCACGGCGGTCACCGTTCTCTTGTTGCTAATATTTATGCTTCTGTTGGACGCTGGGGTAATGCTGAGAGGTTGTTGGAAACTGCTAAGGTAAATGGGGGTTTCAAGTTGCCTGGTTCCAGTCGGATGGAAGATGGATAGTAAATTTAGCAACTAGAAGGGATCTTGCTGGGGTCTGGGCATATAGCATAGACAGAACATGGGAGAGTCAATGTGGGGAATAATATGTGGAGAAAATCTCTGCTTAACCTCAATTAATCCCCGCCCAAGTGATGGATCCAGAACCTATGCCTTGCTTTAGAGCAAGGTATGATGCCTCGCTCTTCACAATTGTCTGATCGAAAATTCAACGATGGGAGATCTTGGGGTCCACTCTTTCGCCAATCTCAAGGCTGACCTCGTTGCTATCCTCTTCACAAGGCACTCTGCCGTACGGCAGAGGATCTGGGACATCTTGGGATTTCCCCCTATGGGCATTTTTGGGGCATCTTGGGCTTTCCCTGCTTGTGCTCCACTTACTTACAATTAGATCTCTCTTAATCCCGATAGGTTCCTCCTGATTAGGTGCAACCGTGCAAGGTCCTAGTTTGTTCCTTGCAAGCTAACACTCATTTTTGACAAATTGGAATCCCCCCCCCCCCCTCCCAAAAACGGTGTTGTTCAATTTTTACCTCATTTATGCATTTAACATAGAAAACACTCCATCCCAAATCTAAGGTCCAATTTGACTTCTGAATTCTGAAGTCGTTTTATGTGAACTTTGGTCATTAATTATTCCAAAGATATATTATTGTATGGCAGTGGAAATACTTTTGAACAGTTTGTTTTAATATAGAATATACAGACTAAGAAACAAAACTATATTATAAATTTATAAGTACATACTACGTTTTTGATAATGGTCAACGATTCTATTCTAGCACTAAAAACCTTGAACTGGCAAAAACGTAGTGTTCATTTACACTAAAGATCTTATAAATCTAAGTGTGAACTTTATTTTGAGATGGAAGTGGTATCTTGGAGTTGAACTACTCCATTCAAAGACAAAACATGTTCTAGCAAAAAAACGTTCAAAATATCTGCTGCTTATCCCATTTCATTTGGGGTAGACCTTGTTCGGGCCTTTACCCATTCTTTGGAAGGGTGAAAATAGAAACGTAAATGCATGCAATAGATATAGTTCTCATGTCGATATTGTACGAGTTTCTGAGCTTTTTATTTGCATGAGTGTCAGAATCCAAACATGTCTTGTTCTCATCATCTCATATTCTCATGTCCTAATGCATATTTCCATTTCCATTTCTGGGTAAATGAGTTAAGGATCCTATCTTATCCTATTATACAATTAGGGACGGACTAATGGTCTATCTAGTGGCGGACCCAGGAAAATAGAGTCACGGGGTCTTTACCTTAATGTAACTCCAATTAATATACCATTAATAAAAAGTGAAGTAAAATATTAAAGAAACATAACGTTTCATAGTTAAAGTACATCATCAAAACATTAAGATAGTATAACGCACAAAATTACATAAAATTCATTCTACAATTGTACAAATGTAGTCTTCTAGGTTTCATTTGTTGGGTATATTCTATAATAGAATCATCATTGGTAATACCAAAAACATCTCTCAACATATGTAACTAAGCAATCATTCAACCATTGAAAAACATCCATAAATACATAAATTTAATATTTAATCTTAACACAAAGAAATTTTAATAATTAATTCAAAAAAATGAATTGTGTAAAGGATAAAATCATTTCATTTTGTATTACACTCAGAAAAAGTAAAATTTGCGGAGTTTTGCGTTGTACTTTGAAGAAAACAATGTTTTTGTCCTTTGCCCTGTGAACCTCCAACAAAACAAACACTCCGACATTGAAAAAGAAATTCAACATCATTCGGGTGACACAAGCAAACATAGATTTACCACTGACCCAGGTAGAGAAAGATGAAAAGGCAAGGTCATAGGGATTGAAATTTATACAGATCATGTGAGTAGATTCAATACATTTTCTATATTCAATTAAATAAATAAAACATCTACTTCTTATTAAATTAAATAAAAATTGTGTCTTTGGCAAGATGCATCATCTTTATTATCAATATATTCAAGTAATTGTATACATTATGAAGCATTATACAAAATTCAAAGTACATATTGGGCATAAAACTTTCGCGCAATGCGCGACCAATTTTATAGTCTTATTATACAAAAATTTTGTAGTCTTATTTTGTAACAAAATAAGAGGAGAGTAAATGGATTCTTAAAATAAATGTGTATATTTAATGATTATGGAAGGAAATGTACTTTATTGGCTTATACTTTCGTGTTGATTTTAAGAAAAAATTATACTCATCCATATCACTATTTTGCCATATCTTTAATTTTCTTTTGTCCTATTAAATTTGTCTCATATCAAATATGATACTAGTATTATATATGTGAGATCCTAAATCATTCTTACTTTACTCATTCAATATAAATCATATGAACTCATTTCTCTTAATAATGACATTACTTCACCACATCCCAATCTTAAGCGGAGGTATGGCAACATAGTACATAATAGTGGGTGACCACAAATGTAATGTATGGGACACCCATTTCAATGAAAAATTTCACATTATTCAACATGTGCGGGTATTGATGTTATTTTGAGATCCGGGGCCTCGGCCTTGTTTTGGCAGGCAAAGAGGGTGCATGACCATTTTGAAGGGGCCCACTTTTTCACGGATATCAAGCCATGGTTTCAAAATTACCCTTCATTCAAGTAAGACATTCGACATTAAGGCAAAAGATCTCGATCGACACTTGAATTTCACCCTATATATAAAGTATAGGCATCCAAAATGAGCAACAGTTCGGCTTTCAAAACCTCCAACACACATTTACCCATTATATTATTTATAATACATATCAATAAAAATTATAATAGTTTATATTTCACAAATATATATTTAAAGTTCGAAACATGTTGGTTAGGATTTAGGAGGGCGGTTTTCATGGTATAAAATAAATCATTCTTACTTTACTCATTCAATATGAATCATATGAACTCATTTCTCTTAATAACGACATTACCTCACCACATCCCAATTCCCAATCTTAAGCGGCGTATGGCAACATAGTACATAATAGTGGGTGACCACAAATGTAATATTGTAATGTATGGGACACCCATTTCAATGAAAAATGTCATATTATTCAACATGTGCGGGTATTGATGTTATTTTGAGATCCGGGGCCTCGGCCAGTCGGCCTTGTTTTGGCAGGCAAAGAGGGTGCCTGGCCATTTTGAAGGGGCCTGCTTTTTCACGGATCTCAAGGCCATTGTTTCAAAAGTAAGACATTCGACATTAAGGCAAAAGATCTCAATCGGTTATTGCGACACTTGAATTTCACCCTATATATAAAGTATACGCATCCAAAATGAGCAACAGTTCGGCTTTCAAAACCTCCAACACATATTTACCCATTATATTATTTATAATACATATCAATAAAAATTATAATAATTTATATTTCACAAATATATATTTAAAGTTCGAAACATGTTGGTTAGAATTTAGGAGGGCAGTTTTCATGGTATAAAATAAATGATCAAAGTTAACAAACTTTAAGTCAATGTCAAATTGCCAAAGCATACTTTTAATTCAAGCCTAATACGGAGTCTAAAGTTATGAAACATTACATTCATTCCTCAATTCCAGCGCACAATCCTAAACATGCGTTGTAAAACAAAGGGTATATACATTATGCAGAAAAAATTGTAATGAGAAGTGCAAATATGAGATGTCAGCTATATGTACAAATAATAAATTCAAGAACACAGAATTCCTAAGCATCTCAAAATGTCGTCCCCAACAAGAAAGTGAAAGAGAAGGTGAGGGGTAAGCACTTTCATTCTCAAAGCAGAACATGCACAAACAAAAATCAAATGTTATAAAGTACAAACAAACATACATTCTAGTGTCATCCACAGTTGCCTGGACCAACTTGTCTCTTAAACGGGTTCCCTACTCACAATCCGGGAGCGACTGAGCTGAAGCAAATGGCGAAAAGCTTGCATAGGACTCACTGTGATGAAGCGGGTTTGGATGCCGACTAGAAGAGCCGCCGATATAGCTACTTGAAGCATTGCCCGAACTTGTCGGAATATATGGAGTCATGTATCTTGAGTTATTAAGAGGTGATATGGAAGGGTACCCCAGTGATAATGAGTGAGGTGAAACCAAATAAGAGCCATGGGACAGCTGAGAAGACGGATCCCTTAGGTCTAACGAGTTCCGGCTTGCAACAAGATTGGATGATTGGGCAGAGGAATTGAGTGACAGAGGGCGAGAAGGGGGGCGGGATGTTGAAGGGCCTATTTGTATGGCTAACGATGATCTTGATGAGAATGAATAGAGAGACGTGCTTGAAGAAAGCAATGGTGTGGATTCTGATGCCGGTGGATCGCCTGTGCTGCTTCTGGCATCACGTTTGCAAACTGGGCAAAAAGTTCTCCATGTCGTTAGCCAAGCATCAACGCACATGGCATGGAATTCTGTCAAAAAAGCTAACATTAGTTAGTGAAATATCAAAACACCAACTATGACAGAATTAGTATAAGACGCATAAGAGGTGTTTTGTAAGGGAAAAGCGTTTAGTATGTCAAAACCAACATATCTTGTTTATAAGCGGGCTAGGCTGAACAAAGATACCAAACAGAAGCTTATTAATATTTCCAACATGAGCTATTACTATTTTAAATATCAATTCATTTCTCTGGTACTAAATCATCACTGGATGTGCATAGAGGGGAAAACAAGCAGGAAGTATAATTTATGTTCCTAGAAATATAAAGTAGGAGAGATTAATGGACATATCCCTACATGAAAAGGACATAATGAATGCGTGAACATAATGCAGGACAAAATATATTTGAAGGCCTAAAGTTATAGAGTGCAGCACATTCCTGTGCACATGCAAAAGGAAAGGTAGACTCATTTGCAAAGTTAGGAGAATGAAAAAACAACCTCCTCTCTCCTTTCCTCAAAAATCCCTGAACCAAAGAACTCCTTGTGGGCTAAAAGGAAAATAAAGTCCTCTCTGTATCATAGTATAGTTCCCACTTTCTTTTAACATGGGAATTAGATATTGTGTGGTCCAAATGTGTTCATAAACAGGAGAAACACTATAAGCTAGTAGCTACACAAGTCGTATAATTAAATAAAATCGAAAATTTATTTTAGTACAACGTGAAAATGAAAGTGATAAGTTTAATTTGGAATAGATGGAGTGTTCCACTACTCCCTCTATATAGGAGTGGCTGCCAACATCATCAGCCTCTCCATTAGTGAAGAAATCGGGATGCATCAGGGACAAGCTTCTAGGTACCTTGGGGGGAGGGGGGTAAGGATCTTAGTGTAGCAAAGTTGCAGAAGTGTTGCTCAAATGGGAATCTAGTCTCACCAAAAGTGTAGATTATACTGAGAACTAAAAGCGCTACCAAGCCTTGGATGAGTTTTATTTGGAAAAGGTACATTCCTTTGTGGTGTGGTTGTGTTTTAGGAGAAGGTTGTCTATGGCTTGCTCCTTGTGGTTCCTGGGTATTGATAGAAGTTGCTGCTTCTGTCTAAATGCCCTTGAAACTGTAGATCACCTTTTTTTAGGTGTCCAGTTGCTGACCAGATTTGGAGAAGTATTTGTCATAGGCTAGGAGTAAAGATGTCTCTAAATACTTTACCTAGTGTGGTAAAATGTTGTAAGAAAGATTTTAAAGGAGCTCGTCTTAGCCGCAAAACCATCAGACTGGCCTTTTGTTGTACTATGTATACAGTGTGGAAGAGTACGAATTCCAGGAATTTTGAAGAAAGTCAAGATACGGCTCATAATATATTTTTGCAGATTAAAATGTTGACTTATAAAGTTTTGTATAGGTACTATCCTATTGAAATGATTGTTTTTTGAACTCCCTTTCCATTCTGTATCTCGATTGGGGGAATTTAGAGGAGCTGGTGCATAACTCTTGTTTAGACTGGTCTTTAGGTCCTCTGTGGCAGATTTGTTTGCTGCTGCAGTGAGACGTGAGTAGAGGGGGATGCCCCCTTAAGTGCTAGCTTTGTGTGGTAGTTAGAAGTGCCCCCTTACAGTTTATCCAAAAAAAAGATTGTTAGGCATTTTATGAATTATTCATTTCCATGCATGTTTCTAATTAATGTATCTCGGTATTACCGAAACGAACTGTCTTAGTTCAGCAACAACATCCAAGCTTTGGTCCCAAAAGATTTTGGGGTCGGCTAACATAATTCGATACATGATATCAAAGCCAAGAGGAAAAGAAAGATAAAAAGATAAGGTATGATAAAAAAGATAAAATAAAGATGCCCTAAAAGTAAAAACATTGAAAGTTGGGGCCATAACTGGAAATTTCAAAATTTTAACTGTATTAGCACTTTTTTATCTGTGTGAAAATAACTATATGACTATCATTGTAGGACAGAGGGAGTATTACTAATTTATTAGTGAATAATTATAAGAACCTAAAAGCTAATTCTATCATTAGTAAACCAATCACCTGGACAATTGGTGAACATTCAATAAACATTAGACACCCTTAAGCAGACCTGAACATTCAATCCCTTAGGGGTCCATTTTTTATTTTAGCATTTTGTTTTCTATTCCTACACTCTTTTGAGTTCCAAAAGGACCTTCAATAAAAAGGGCAGTTATTAAAACTAACTCTACATAACACCTGCATATAACTCGGAAAGTCATAAAATTCTAATAAAGGCAAAGATAACTTACTATGACGGCATGGCAGAACCCTAAGCTTGTCCCCAACATTATAATCTTCAAGACATATAGCACAAGTCATTGATGTACAGTTATCCTCAACCACAGTTGTAAATATCAAAGTAGGCATAGCCTTAACAAGCCGCCTACTCATCCCGTGAAATTCTCTAACACGTGTTGTGCTTGTAGTGGTCCGAGTCAGTCTCTCTCTTCTAACACGGTGCCTCCTAACAAAGAAACAGGTGGCTAACACTGCTGACATGGCAAGCAATGATATGAATGATATGGCCATGATTGACCACGCCGAATTCTCAATGGTCGGTATTATCCATACTTCAACTGCCATGTTGCCCGCATATTTAGTGAGCAAATCTCCTGAAGTTTTTGACACGAATACGGCAGGTATCTTTATGCCGCTAGAATCTCCCGCCACTGCATTTTCAATTGTATGTGGTATATATCATCATACTGCGCAAATAGCTTAACTAAAGTAGAATGCATGAGAAAAGGCTCAAAATATGGGAAATTGCTGGGATCATAAATAAGCCCCTTGACCAGTCAAAATTTCTGTAAGCAACCCTTTTATCATGTAAAGAATATTGAATATAACAGATATTAACAATCGTTTTGTGTATTCCACCGACCACCGGTTATGATATTTCATCTTTTCTCTAAAAAATAATCTACATTCGGGTGGAGGATTGATCTCTTTTCATCTTTTTTATCTACTTTATCTTTCTTATCTTTTTACCTTTTTTATTCTTTATCTTTGTCTTATCTTTACTGCAGTGGTTTGACCATGTGCATAGAAGATCAACTGATGCACCTCCTAGATGAATTAAGAGGTGCAGAGAAGAGGCGAGGGGAAAGGGAGAGGAAGACTCAAACAGTCATGGATTAGAGGAGTCAAAAGTGATATGCTACTTCTTGAGTTGGATGAGAGTATGCCCTTGGAGAAAGAGAAGCGAGGCAATACATTCATGTGGGGGTGGATCACATTTCATCTTCTTTTTTTCTTTCACATGTTCTTTATCTTTTTACCCTTTTTATCTTCTTATCTCTTTATCTTTCTTTTTATCTTATCTTATCTTATCTTTTATTCTTTTTCTATCTTTGTTATCTTTATTAGCTCCGATTTCACATGTTGATTCATGTTAACCGACCCCAAACTCTTTTGGGACTAAGGCTAAACATAATCTACATGACAAATACTCGAGGAGAAACACAATATCTTCCGATATTTCAGTCACTTGAGAAAAATTGTCCGGTCAGTGCAGTTTTTGTAGTTCTAAGAAATATCAAGGGTCACTTGGAATGACCCAACATTTAGGAGGTAAATGTAGCCCCCCAATAATATTAAAAAAAAGAATGCTACCTCTATCCCAAAACAATGACCACTTAGTAATTGGTGTTGCAAATGACTGCCTTTTTAGACCATGAGCCCGTTTGGTAATGCCCAAATCGGCTGCATTGGCTGATTCTGCTGAAATTTATGAAGTTCTTACTGAAGTGGCTGAATTGGCTGATTTTGCTGATTTATGAAAAAAATTATATTTAAAGTATATTTTATTAATTAAATAAGAAAACATTATATGAAAAAATAGCTAAAATGATATGCTATTAAAAGTAACCTCAACCTTACTTTTTCTTATTATTACACAATTCAGCGCACGAAATTAAAAGGTACGTGTGTTTGGTGAAAAAGGTGGCTGCTAAGTTTGATAAGCCAAAAAATAGGGTCACTAAACATGCTCCATATAGGAAATACATTCCTCCAAAAACTGATAAATGGCAAAAATAAGATAAAAACTGGGAGAGTTTAGTCATTACTTGCAACTAAGTCCCCGTACTCATTGTCATAGACTATGGCTGCTTTGAATCCAGCAACTTGTGCTCTTTTAACTTTATCCTCAAATCTACATCCTCCCCTTATTATCAACACGAATGGAGGTTTAGTGCTGTTTTTAACTGGGCCCACCTTATTATTCAAGGGTAAACAGGCGTCCAATGGCTCAGCAACATACAATCTCCCACACTGTCCTGATCCAGTTGCTGTGGGAGCTGAAAAGAAAATATATGACTTAATGAGAAGACATAAGAGTTACGGAGTACTATATAATTACCATATCTTGAGTATGGCCATAAAAATCAGCGGCCAAGATTCTGTAAAACTACATATATGATAGATCATCCAGTGAACAGCTTAAATGGAATCAAAAGTAGTATTGACCTACCTTTCCCTTACTTAACTAGTGCATAGTTGTGAATCACTCCTTACCTATCATATTACCCAGGTTAAATTGAATTGTTCATTTAAGCTTGATATGCCCCAACACTAAATAAAGACTTGTTAATAAATGTGTGCTGTTTTATTCTATGTTACATGTCTTAGAACAAGCATCACCAGAAAATATGCTCTCAACAGACATTGTTCTTAGCTCTCGATTGAAATAAAACAACTCTAGACAAATAAATATGGAGTGCTTCAAGAAATTTTAACCCACAAGAAGAGAAAGGTAATGAGGTGGTGGAGATTAAACAACAAAATTGTAGATTTAAGTGCTCCAATAACCATCAAAATCGTATTCCACAAAGCACTTAATTTCCAAAAAAAAAAAACAGATTTAAGCTTTAATCAACACTACCACAAATAAAATCTATACAAAATCTAAACTTGTAATGACAGATGGAAAAGGGAGAGAAAAACTAACCAAAATTAGCCTCAATGTCTTCCAAAGAGAAAGTTGTATTTCTACCGATCAAAACGATATTAGCAAACGCAGGAGTCATCAGTGAAAGAAAGCCCAATAGAAAGAAGGGAAACACCACAGAGAGATTAAGCATAGCTCCAACTTCAAAACCCTATAAGCCCTTTTTTTGAAAATAAGAAGCAATTACGCCAAAAGATTACAACTTTGCGGCATTAGAGACATCTGCTTCCATGTTCTCAGCGATCTGTATTCATTGGGTTATTGCTAATCCACCTCAAGTTCGGGTAAGAGACTACTGGGTGTCGTGCTTCAAGCGCTTCTTCAATATCTAATTTCCATCTAGAGAGGAAGTATAAATACAACTATGCAAGGGAAATCAAGACTTTCCGAATTTATAAGGATTTGTTCAACCTATCTTTGAAGTTTGACCAAAAAAATAAGGCGCTTTTCTAAATAAAAACTATAATGTCTATGCTTTATAAGGGAGTTTCCCAAAAATATCACTAGATTGAAGGTTATTTTTTAAAAGTGACTGTTTTTACTAGAAATGTTAGGCAAATTATCCTAAATAGGATTAAACACGTTATATTTCAAAATAGAAATATCATGAATTTGTTTCCAAAATATGACTTATTACTGTCATGTTCACGAAGTACCAAACTTTAAACATGACAGTATTTTTCAAACCTGACAGTAATTACTCCTATTTTGGAAATAAAACATGACATTCTTATTTTTAAAATTTCAAACTTTTTTACTCCTATTTCGAGATTTTTTCCAAAATGTTACTGCGTATTAATAAGGTAACAAATTTTGAAAAACATATTGTTACTTCTACATTTTTATGTCACTATCTGTTTTAATATTATTGTCGTCATCGTAGATGTCACTATAGTTGTGAAACATGTCATTGTGATCATTGCAAAATCTATTCGATGATTTTTTCCAAGGTAAGTTCAAGTAAAAAAAATTGAAAATAACCCCACAGAAATTTCGAAGATAGGCCGCCAACATGTGTTGCTAGAGGAGGCAGTGAGGCAGGAATGAGTAATTGGGTAGGAATTAGAATAAAAAGAAAAATTTTAATTAAACAAAGATTAGTCATATTTTTCAAGAATAAAAGTAATCATATTTTTGTCTTTAAGAATGTTGAAATAATATTTTTTGCAATTTTTCCTCTGTATAAATTAGAGGAAAATACCGACATCATATAGCTCTTTTACATATGTTCCAATTGTAATATTTTTACGAACACCATGTAAACATACCTTGTATTTACTCCTATTTAGAATTTGTTTTAGCATTATTGGTTACATTAAGTCGATGGGAAAGGGTGTTATGTTACCAAAATTATGTACAAAATGCTTAATGGTAAAGTTATACTCCGTATTTGTTTTAAAATATACGGAGTAGTTAATATATAACTTAAAAGGAAAAAGCTCGCATAAAATATTTGTGACTCAATGGTGTGTGTGTGTGTGTGAGCGTGCGTGTGTGCATGTGTGTGTGGGCACAGAGCTTTTGTCAAGGAGGGGCACTACAAAATAGATAGAAACGGATCGAGTCGGGTCACGTTGAGTGTTAGATTGGTCTATTATGTCTAGCTTGTGCAAACAGGTTTTATAAACGAAAATAGTTTATTCAATAGCGGTTTCAAGGGATGTACACATCTGATTTATAGGTCTAGCTTCAACTTATTACGACAATCTTAAACAATAATATTCAGCTTTTGAAAGAAATGCATGGATTACAACTGAGTCATCCGTGCACCGTTCATAATTTTCATATTATAAATGGTCAAAGTTTCACATTTACAATTCAATTAGGATCGTGTACAATGCTACACGGCGTGCCACATAATCGTTGTGTAAAAAAATGATTTATTATGAAAATTATTCTGATGCCGGTGGATCAGAATATAATGATGGTGGGGGTGTACCTCATAAAATATAACAACTCCAAAGTGATAATAATTTATTATCGTTAATAGACACATTTAGAACGATAAGTGGCAGCTTTCATGTTAAGTTAAGAATGTTAACTTTGTTCTTCAAATCCATTTTTCTCTCAAATTTTAAAAATTACCTATGGTGTTTCGTAAACAACTCACAACCTTGACGATAGCTTGACTTTTTTGTTGCAAGAAATGTCACAACATATCATATTCATCAATCACAATACTTTCTTAATCTAGTGGGCAATGAAATTAAATTGATAACCCTCTATCATTACCAAGCTACTCACAATGCTCATTGATTTTAAATCAGTACTATTGATAGAGTATATGAGCTCGGATCCATAACCCACACACTCTTGGATATACAACAACCCAAATTATCACGCTACTCGGGGTCTCTCAAACAAACCCAGTATAGAAGGAAGAATTGTGCTCTTTGTTCGTACAATCACCTCGACCTCATCACCTCGATGATGTCATCTCGGCCATAGAGCGCAGACAACCACTCAAGAACAAGGGCAGTGCTAGATTTGTGCTGCACCCCTACACATTGGCCATCGTCACCTCGGCCAATAGAGAAGAACACTTGCGGCCAAGAAATCGGTTAGAGAATGACAAGTGTCGAATGCTGCTGCGTTTCAGGGCTCTCACCCATAGAATATGCCAACACGTGTAGTGCATTTAATGCACCGCCTCATTTATTACTACCCCCTTGGGGGTAGTTGTAAATGCACTGCCTCATTTATTACTAGTTGATACTCCCTCCGTCCCTAAATTTACTTCCAACTTTCCCTTTTCGTCCATCCCAAAAAGAACTTCACTTTCCCTTTTTGGCAAAGAATTTGTGGTTCATAGCATTTCTCTCTCCTCTTCACAACTTTGCATCACACAATTCCCACTTTCTTAATCACCATCCACTTTAATTTGGAAGAACATTTAGGGATGGAGGGAGTATCATTTAATATCAAGCTCTTTCTCTCTCTAAACCTCAACTCTCCCTTTTCTCTATAGTACCACTAGTTGTTTATCGAGAAGCTATCATTTGGTGCTATCTTTGAAAATGCAGAGAAAAAGAATAAACCAAACGAATACGCTTCCCTTCAACTGATAGAAAAAATTACATGGGGGGAACTAAGGCCAATTACAAGGTGTTCTATAAGGGAAGCCAAAAGGCATCACATCATTTTGGGTCCTTTTGAAGTTCGGCATCCAGCTCGGTGAGGTTGTTGTCTCCTTCGATGTCAGTACCCGAGGCACCCTTGCTATCTGCATCCCCCTCGTGGACCTCGTCCTCCACGTTGGAGTCCACAATGGGATCTTGCCTCTTCTCCAGAGGCTTCTTCAACTCCTCGGCCAGATTCTTCATTTTGGGAGGGAGGCCATACTCCAAGGGGTTAAAATTCTTGATCTTCCGCTTAAGCCGACGATACATCAGCAATTGCATATGTTGCTCCCCTTGACATACATGAGCTCCCCATCATTAACAATATACTTCTACCCCTTGACTGTGAGCAGCCATTCGTCGTGGTGAGCAGTAATGATAGAGTGGACCCATGCCTTTTGTTCATCAGCTTTCCGGCTGGACTCTTTGAAGGAGGGGAGGATTCGGTCCGCCTCATGTTTCACATTGTTGAGCTCCTCGGTGGAAGCAACCTCACCTTTCTCCTTGGTCTTAGCCATCATCGACAAATCAACAACGCTTTTCCTCTGCGCCTCCTCGGCTTCAACACTAGCCTTCTTCTCGGCCTCAAGAAGCAACGCTTGACTGGACACCTCGGCCCTTAACTTCTCCAGCGTCTGCAAGGCCTAGTCATACTCCTGACGGTCTCGCAGAGCTTTCTCAAACTTACGCGCCTTCGCACGATACGCTGACCATAATTCAATAAGAAAGTGCCCCCTGAACTCCGAATTCACGAAAGTCAGACGAACAAACTTACACACAAAAATCAACAAGGGTAATGAAACATAAAGGAGAATAAGCGTACCCTCGCAACGTCATGCATCCCATTCTGAAACAAAGACTCATCATTGTATCTCTTCAAGGCCTCCCAGTCAACAGGGAGCAAAGAACGATCGATCAGCTCATGACCATGGACTGTCCCCTCGATCAAACTCCCGCCAGCTAGTAACTTGAAGGTGACAGAATCATAAGGCCCCTCAACAGAGGCGTCTCCAGAGGCCCCCTCATAGTGAGCATCCTGCCGGATGATACTAAGTAGGGGAGGCTGCACTTGGAGGTCCCGTGGAGCCAAATGCTCCACATCAATGACATCCATCAATGTGGCGGCACTTCAAAGACAACCATCTCAGAGTCCCAAGAGGCAACACCTTCTTCAGGACAAGGCCAAACTCCTAGAGGCTTTTCTGACCCTCGACCCCTTTTTGTTTCTTGACCTTAGATGCCCCAGCCTTGTCAGTAGGCATCCTCTTGGATCGCTTCCCGACACCACCTCTCTTCGCCACCTCGGTCCTAGCAGCCTCAGCCTTGGCAACCTCATCCTAGGCCTTCTTCTCAGCCAAAAGTGCTTGACGGGACTGAGCAAAGAGTGACCTCTTGTCCATATAAGCTTCTACAAAAAGAGAAGGCAAAGGTTAGAAAACATAACAGAAAGCAATCAAAGGAAAGATAAATAGATTTACAATGAGATGCAACACTCAAACAACCTTGGTTCTCAGGCACCTCGGCCCCCTTGACTTGCTCAGGCCCCTCGACCATCTCAAGAAACAAACCACATCCCTCTCTTCTTCAGGAAGACGGTACCGCTCATACCCAAGGAGCGCCACCTGTACTTAGCACGCCTTTTGTGATGCACCACGGTTAATCAAACGCAGTGCACCGCAGAACCAAGCTCCTAACGCACTTCAGCTCCACAAAAAAATACATCTTGAGGATACCAGTTCATCAAATTTCGGTTACTAACATCACCTAGAAGATCAGTAACCACAATTAAATGGGAAAAATGCCTCAGGTATGAATTCTCCAACTCAAAAACCAAATAAGCCCCTCGAATTGAGCATCGTTGTGATGGTCTCTAGCCAGCGACCTTCGTCCCAAGATTCTCACTTATGGTTTCCTTGTATAGGGTTCACCAATGGGATTGGATCCCCAGATCGTTTCATAGGTAGCATCTCAAGTCACAGGTTTAAAATCATCAACACCAAGTGGCATTGCGGTGTGAAGATTACAATCCTCAAACTAGACTAACATCTCGGCTTCATAAGTGAGGGACTGGGGGGATTACACCTCGGTCAAAATGCAAAGAGGCAAAAAAACACAAAAAATGCCACGCAGAGACCATGCTCACCACGGAAGGGATCACCTCGGGCTCAAATACAAATACATATAAGAAATCAAAGCACATGATCAACATCAAACTCAACTTCCTTTCACTTTGAAGCTTCTTAGCTCAGAGAGTGGAGGACTCCTGATAGAGTATATGAGCTCGGATTCACATTCCCCACGC